GGCGGTCTTATTATTACGCTAAACGACGGGAAGGTGCCTAATGTAGATGGCATCGTTGCCAAAAGCATGCGGGCACTTGGCCTTGCCTATAATCCACAAATCCAACTTGTGTGTGCCGCTGGCATTTGAACAAGGAATATGGTGATACGGTCTTTCTGCTTCTTCCTTCTCTTTTGGGCGCAGGTAGCGAGTGTAGTGTCGAGGGTAGCCAGCCAATATAACGCTGTCTCATCGACGTTGTAGGTGTTGTCTATACCGAACAAGGAAATCAAAGTTCTGACCTGGTTTGACAGGTTTTGCCAGCTCCTAACGCCTCTTTACAGGGCTGTCAAAATCTGGCAGACAAGTTGACGTAGTTGCCACAATTGGCCCGATCGCCAGAATTGCCAGAATTGCCAGAATTGCCAGAGTTTTGCTTGCTAGCGAACCGACAAGGGTTCCGAATGGCGCAAATCCAAGGGGAGTAGAAGTCCACAGCGGGATTTGACGTGATTTGTTATGAACTTTTGGCCTCCATGTCCGGTATTGGTCGACCATCCCATGCTCGGCGTGAGGACAGCTTCAAGCAGGGTCTATTCACCGGATACGTTACGACAAACTGGACGTTGGAATTTTCGACGCATGACAGCTAGCGAAACAACCGTGACTTTTTTCTCCACGATATAACAATACACACACAATTACTGTCAGCCCGCGATGGCACTACCCAACGCCGTGTTGCTCTGCTCACATACTCCCTTCCAGTTTGACCGCAGACTTGGATTTATTTAGTCTTGGAACTTCCCGCCCAATTTTTCGATAACTCTCCTCAACCATACATCCAACACACCTAGTGTCTTGATGACAGCAGCCAACTCACCTGACCAACGGTACCCATTCATTTCCAATTCCAAGAAGGGAGACGGTATGCCTGAGACACTCCCGCCCGGCGATCACAGCTTCAGCCAACAAGTCATGTACAATTCACCGGCTGTTTGCGGCGTAGTCGCTCAGTTCCCCCATCAAGTCCGATCTTCGTCGATGTATGAATCAACACCTAGCTCCTTCTCCGGCGAGCATCAAGTTCCCTCACCCACGTCTGTCGGTCATCAGCAGATGCACATGGGCTCTCAGCACCACCACCAACCGCAAAAGGTCCAAGACGAGCAGAGTGGGCAGGCCATGGTCACGATGCAGAGCATGCAAGGAGCACCAAGCATCTACCCGCCATCTTACCTCGACACCATGGATGCCAGATCACGATATTCTCCTGACTTTCCCCACTTCAGCCAGGCCGGGCCCTTCGCGTCTCATGAGGCAGCAATGGACATGGTGCAGACTTCCAGGGCTGTGGCTGCCAGACCAACGATCCTGCCCTACAATGGAGAAGGGAGAGCGTCCACGTCCACACAGGGCCGTCGGGAGTTTCCATGGACCGAGCGGCACACCGAGGTGCTTCGCCAAGGAAAACGAGCAGGCAAATCTGCCCCGGAGATCGTCAAAGATCTCTATCAGATCGACGGCGTAGAAAGAACGCCCAATCTGGTGTCAAAGAGATGGGGAAAGATAAGGCAAGGGTGTATCAACAAGCACGTAAGTACCTACTCTATATTACTCACCCGGGTCCATCATGAAGACGGAGGTCCTCCAAAGATCGAAGAGAGAGAGCGCCGCTGACACTCCATCTCCACGTTGTAGGATATGGATTCGATCGTCGAAGCTGTATGTCCAGATATGGTCCGAAAGGTCTACGGCGAGCTTTCCAACCTCGATTTTGCCCAAATGCCGAACCTCAGTATCCAGCTTGTGGAAGCTGAGCGCCAGGTCAAGGGCATCTTGAGAAAGCACATGGTCAAGGGCGTGCAAGAAGTCGTTCTGAAGCTCATCAGCAATGACGCGTCGTTCTCCGCGTGAGCGCGATGCTGCCCACGGGGTCCCAAGGGTTTTTCCCTTCGTTGTTTTTGCTTGTTGCGCCTAAATCCACACGGTCCTCGCCGTCGTACATTTTTCCTTGGGTCATTGAACCGTTTTGCCGCGTCGCTGAATCGCCTCGTCGTTGTATCACGTACTTGTGGCTACTTCGTTGGGTCGGGTCGTCGCGTGACGTCGCCGCGTCTCATCTTCGCATCTTGTCATGTTGCTCGTCCTCATGTATCTGGAGTTTCGTTTTCAAGTTAGCTGATAATTCATCCCCTCAATCTCGCTCCAAGCCAACCCCGAAATGGCAGAATGGCAATTACGATGGTGCCTTACCTCGAGGCATCCCAACGCGATAGAATGATGACGAGGCGGTGACTAAAATGTTGCTGCTGATGTGCCGAAGTTGGGCCTCTTTTCGAACCTGGAGAACCTGATCATTGAGACGCCCTGAAGAGCAAGGTGTTGTTTTGTGGCTTGGGAGAAAGTCGGGGAGCAAATGATGTGACAAATGCTGTTTGGTTGATGTCGAGCGGGAGCAAGGTTGATGATCCTGCGTTCCTGCCCTATCAGTTTACACGTGGGATCCTGAGACTTATCGTTAGTGCTTTAACTTGCTAATGCACGGGCCACCTCCGCCATCTTGGGGCATTTACAAGCAATTACAACTACTCGTTCTGCCTGACCTGGAGACACTCGCTCCCTTTGTTTGCTTGAGAACCGCTCGTCTTTTCCAACCCTTCAGCTCGCATCAATCACGATAGGACATTCATACGAATACGCCTATTATCCCGTGGTTATATCTCCTCGCCAGAACAAGCTTTCCATGACTATCACCTTGCGGGCCTTTAACCGTTGTTTACGCCACTTGGGCCTAGCGTATCGCCCTTTACAATAGTGAAAAAGCAGGTCCGAGGCAATGACTGTATCCTAACTACAAATCTCGCAGCCTGCAAATAATGACAAGCGTCTGTCCTACAGCAGCCATCAACAAGCCCAATTCCGGTGAAGGATCTTAAATCGGTCAATAATTGGTTCCCATATATCGAACCCTTGCATAGCTCGAAGCCAGGCACAACGCCGGCACGACGCCTAGCCCCACGGTCTTTGACTGGTCTTGCACTTTTAACCTCATATTAACTCATGGCCTCGAGCCGGCTTGCTGCCCCAATCCGTCACGAGGAAAATGCTAGGACTTTTCTATACGAAGGAAAGTGACACAACACAATGTGATATACGGCAGCGGTATCAGAATACGCAGTAACAGGCCTGCCACCTGTCGACTTCGAACGATGAAGCCCACTAATAGCGAGCGTCTCGGATGACCTCAGCAAGGACAGTACCTTTTGAGGCGGAATGCTAGCAACTGGCCTTCGGATTTTCACAAGCCGCAAGCCAGCTCTAGGCCGCAAACTGGAATTGATAACACCACTGGGGAGAAAGTCCTACCGCCCAGAAACCGCACGGATCGTTTGAGTCAATATATGCTACAATAGGGTTACAATGTGTCCTTCAGCATGACGTGTTCTAATTCCAGTTCCTGGGTGTCGAACTCCGTAACCCGTCCAGGGCGAATTTGGAAGAATCCGAGAAGATATAACAATCTTGCCGGTCTGTCTCTTAGTTGAACTGTTTCTCGGGTTCTAATTCATGCCCTTTCTTCAAGAGTTTGATCACAGATCTTTACTTACAAAGCGTCGGACAAGACGCTTCCCATTCTTCGATGGAATTCAACATGTCGAGCAGTCCTATTTACCTAGTTAGTCCCCCTTATCGACCCAATTTTCATCAGACTATATTAACCTTCAATAGCAACATCAAACTGACAGCATCGAGTTCCAGCATCCAAACCCAAAATTTTCACCCCAGCACCAAATACCTGAGCCAACCGAGAACTATCAAGACGGCACCGACCTGAAACTCCACAATGACATATACGGACCTGACAAGTCTGCCCACCACAAAACCGCGATTCCTCCCCATAATCCGTTCTTTCAATCCACAGTCGGAAATCATCCTGTCCTACCTGCCTCGTCCTCATGGCCTCTGGACGGAAATCCTGAATTCTCTGCCTCGGAGGTTCAGGAGCAGCTTCCTTTCTCGCCGGAATGCCCCTTCGAGCTAGAAATCTTCCAGCAATGGAAGTCCGGCCACCCAACCTACCAACAGGCCTCCGCACCTAGCGAGATCCCCAATTTTGCGGCTTGGACGGGCAACACCGACGCTGCCGGTGAGCCCATGAGCATGACAGATTCGGGCGTGGACTTCTCGGTGCCCCCCGGAACATCAAGATGCGAACCAGGAATGCCCGTCCTCATCCATCGGCCAGAACTTTTGCACTAACCCCAACAAATGCGAGCTATCGCCCGACATGGCTGAAGCCATGCACCGGTTTTCTGTTCCGCATATCTGTGAATATGAGCAAGCGAAGAAGCTGCTTGTTGATAAGGTGCATCTCCTAGATACCTCTACTTAACCCGAAATGGATCCAGACTAACGCTGCGTTCCTCCTCTTTCCAGATCGTCAACAAAGTCTTGCAAAACGCCGCCCCGCGTATCATGGCGTTGCTTGAGGAAGAGCTACAGAAGAGAGAGGAAGAGATGGATATGGAGATGGAGGAATATGATGAGGATATGGACTCGGACTTTGAGGCAAAGCTTTGAAGGTGTTCAATAATACGTTTTCTTGTGTACATGGGGACGCTGGTTACCTTAGGTAGGCAGCGTTAACCGTAAGGGTTCTGTTGATGTTTCTGTTAATGTCGACGTTTCCTGTTTTGCTGGGAATCAGTTTCAACGCTAGTAGCTGTTCGGCGGTGGAAGTCGAGGGTCTTCGTTTTCTCGGTACCTCCCCCCAATTCGAAGGTCTTTTCATTCAGCAGTTCAATCGCGGTTCTGCGATGTGGACGGGAGAACGAACCTGGCGATCCCATTGACCAATGGTAAGTCACCATAATGGAAGTGAGATGTATAAACGGGATATTCCGTGTAAGTACACACCCTCTGTTATGCACATACGTCCAAGTTGACCTGTCAAGTGCACATTACCTGGCGGCCCGGATTATGAAGGTTTGGTCTGGGACTTTGACCCTGAAAGTGCATGAAATTGTTTAAGCACATATTTTGGGAAATGTTTCCGACATTGTCCATTTTGTGTGCTTTTAAAGGGGGTATCTTTGTAGCAATATGCCAAGCCTTCCTCGGCCATATCCTCATATTTCCTATTTGGGTACTTGGACGTACCCATCACCCAACACGAAACCTTAGCGAACACCAAGGGTGCCAGAGCCTCACCGTTGCGGTGCTTCCACACAAAATACCAGACGTGATAGGACCTTTTCACAGCTGGCAGACCAAGCAGCAAATGATTCATGCAGGTCGGCATCCAGGGCCCCGGTCTTGTGCGACATGCGCTCCCATGCCGTTCGAGGGTTGTCAGTCACGACGGTCTTGAACTTCCCAGGACGTTACTGACAGATATGGGAATGGGAATTGCTTCAACAACAGCAAATGTTAGGAACGGTTGTGCAACGGAACTCTTCGTCGTGATGCAGACCTCGAGCGTTATCATCGCAGGCTTGCGATTAGCACTCAATGCCTCCAACTCGGTCATATGGTGCGGTCAACCACGCGCTTATCGAGTGGATACGTGCAGCGGTAATCTTAGAAAGCAAGCCAAGGGGTTTGCAACTTGCCTACGATGTGCAATGAGGCTCTTCTTCTTTCACGGGCATAGTGAAGGGCGAGTAACTCAAACCAACTTCTTCGTCTTGAACCCCGTCAACTGTCCACCAAAGCGCGCTCACTTCTGTAAGCACTCCCCATTGCCAGGGCGCCGACGACTTCTTGATCGCCAAACCCCCCATACCATTCGGCCCTAGATAGCAAACAGGTATGTCTGACCCGGTCAACGTGGAGTCCGACATGCCAGACGAGATCGATGGCCACAGCTTTTTTGAAGATGCATTGTGGCCACGCCATGCTGTCAACGACAACGTCAAGGGCCCCCGCCAACCCCCTGATCATCCTGCCTTCAAAACCTACCGACCCGACCCTGATCCGACGCTCACTGATGACCAGCGGCCGCCGTACAATCCCAACGCAAGACTTGATAACATACCGGGTCTAATATTTGAGGACCCAGAAGCGTGTGCTCCAGAAGCCTTATTGTTACAGCCTTTCCTTGACAATCAGTTTATCGCACGACCTCCAGAAAGACATCAACCCGAACAAAGGCATGCCGACGACGGTGGAGAGCCCAGACCAGAGTGGACAATAGAGGATAAGTTTCATCATGAAGGAAATGCACGAAGCCAACCATGAGAGGGCTGTGTTCATGTGAAATTCGCCATCGATTCTTGGAACGTTTCCACAAAAGAAATGAAAGCAGACGCTCTTTCCAAGCTGTTGACCAAGTTGAAAGAGCGTAATTATCCGTCGTATGTGAGTCTGAGTCCAGCCCTGACACTTGCACCTGAGCTCTGGATAATCTGACAGGCTTGCCATGCCGTAGACAGCGAATGCAGCCGTCAAGGCCACGGAGCACGCTCTCTATGCGCTACTTGAGACGTCCGATCTTGGAACTTGACTGCGCAGGGTCAGCACAGCGATCAGGTGGATAAGGTTAGGGTGGGATGCGAGGAAGAGTGGGAGAAGGGAATTTCCAGCACGCTTCAAGGAGTCGCATTTAGGATCGGATGCACTAGAGTTTTTAAGGAGGATTAAACGTGGTGGTCTGGGTTGTCCCGGTTCTCTTCACTTTCTTTTGTGTGGCGTCGTCGCGTCATGGGGTCGCATCATGTTCATGTTCTCATCGGGGTTTTCGTTGGGTCGTTGCTCCTTCTAATAATGTGGTGGCTCCCTATCGCCCCTGTCTTTCATCCTTTTCTCACGGTGCTGTATGTCGCTGCATTGTGTCCCTCGTTCTTGGGTTTTGGACAGGTGCATGGAGAAGGTCTTAGGTAGCGAAAGTACCGGCCGGCATGACTCGATCGTTCCGGAAATAATATTTGTGCACAACTGAACATCGCAGCCGCATGAAAATTGATCTCTTGTATCAGCCTAAGACCCTGTATTGGAGTGATAGATGTGATCATTTGATGCACTGTAGGGGCTGATGACACAACTGAAGGGTCATACATCGGATGGCGACACAAAGAAATGAGTCGGGGCCTACCTCCAGGTACCATTTGTGGCGCGAGGCCTCTACCGGGCAAGTCCAATACGTCTTCACAAAAGAGATACGGGGGAAGTATGTGAGGGCGCGAAGCCGCGAACAATGGCAGCAAAAGAAGCCGTGTAGACAATTGATTGAGCGTGCTATGGAGCGACAAGATTGGTGGGAAGAATGGAGGGCTAGGAAAAGTGATGGGCGGCCCCCCCCCCCCTTCCTCCGAGGACAAGAGTGCGGGCCACGGGCCGTACGCGACCTGCCAGGGCGGAACAGGCAGACAGGATGCCGAGGCCGGGACCCACCTGGCCACCGAAGAAAGGACGGGCCGAGCATAAAGCCTTGGTTTAGACGGTCAGGTGTAGGAATGAAGAAAGGAAGGAAAGGTAAAGGCACCGAAGTCGGGGGGAAACAGCGACCTTTTATGGTTCTTTCTCGTCACTGGAAAGACGGCGCACCGGCTTGCATGTCTTCCGGACTTCCTCCTCTCTACTTCAATTACTCTGTTTCAGGATTCTGGTTTACTACGTATGCGGCTTACACCGAGTGGGCCTCCATCCGAGCTACGGTACTGGTATAACAGAACCGGCCATGGCGGAGCACGTCAAGTTCCGACCCGGTCTTTTATGTTTGCTGGCTGCTGGCAGCGTCGTAATCCATGTCTAAAACTGTCAAACATTTCATATGCTACCACAAGGCGGCATACCTGTATGAAAGTGGGTGGTGGTATTGGACTTGGCGTGGTCAAATTTGGTTTCTCCTGTGAATAACTCCTTTTTCGTCCACGTGTCAAGACATCAGTCCGCAACTGGATATTTCAGTCTAAGTAATAGTTCATTTCGACATTCCTTTGCAATTACGACTTGCTGTGTGAGCATAGGTACCAAGGTATGTAGATATCTGATATCTAGTTCACCATCTACCATCTCTTTTCACTAGCACCAGAGGAGGGAGGTCACCATTGAGGCCAATCGTACTTCTAGCAGTAAGAAAATGAGATGGTTAAGTTGGTGGAGGTATTCATGGAACTTGAATAGTTCTGTGGTTGAGTGTCTTCGACGGGTGTCCATCAACTGGTTCGCCAAGTATTTATTGACTTGCCCCTGTGTACAACACAAGGGTATCCTACCAACTGTGACACCAGTTTGGGCTTGTCGAAGTCAGAGACCGAGGGGCAGACATGGCATTGCATTGTCTGTACTTAAAGAGATTTTCGGGTCGCTCTTCCTTACGATTAGTCTACCCTCCGTTTGTTCCTGCTTCCTTTCTTCTTCTCCTTTAGTACCATGTAAATTTTGACTGGTCAGTCGCAGCGCATGTAAAACATCCACGGATCCCTTTGCATCCTTCCCAGTCTACCAGGTATCTGGTCGAACTGGCGTTTGCAATTCAAGCCTGAGAGAACCCAGCTGCTTCCCAACCAAGAAGACCGACGACGGAGAAACGATCTAACGACACATAAATTCTTGTCCCTCGGTTCTGAATTGAGGATACCTACCCCTCGGTGCCCGCCCTCGATAGCAGAATCTCAGCCCACCGAGGGTTGCACCAGCTTTTATTTACAGCTCTTCGTAAATCTGCGTTCTGATTTCGTTCTCAACCGCTTTCCCACAGACAGGCCAACAGCCGCTACTTAACGCTCGCATCACTGCTGGTATGAGCATTCTTCTTACGAGCACGGAACAGGAATGTCCAAATAACTGAAAGAATCAGCTTACAGTAACCATGACTCCAAGACCATCTTCAGCCGCTTTTGTCGTGTTCTGGTTCGGCGGGGAAAAAAAGAAGCAAAGCTCATCATGTCTTCTTCAAACGGCAAATGCCAAGACCCTGCAAAATGCCAGCTTTCGCTAGAGATTTCCAGTGCCCTGAAAGAATTCTCGCTGCCTCATAACTGTAGCTTCGAGGAGGCCAAGCGTCTGCTTCTTGACAAGGTAAGATTGTCCATTTCTCTCGTTTTTGCTTCCTCAAATCTAGTTACTGCAGCCTTCTTATCTCTAGGTAACTAACACTTGACCTTCTGCTACCAGATAGTGAGCACTGCATTGGACAGCACGAGCTCCAACATCACGGCGATCCTGAAGGACGAGCTCAAAAAGTGGGAAAGCGAGACCCATGGAACTCGGTCTTGACAAGGATAGGATGAAGTTATCGGTTCACCTATCATGGTTGACTGTACATGGTCACCGCTCACGTCTTCAGAGCTCCAGTTTTCCTGTTTGCTGTTAGGGCGCCAATCTTACGAAATTCCTTGTCCACATGAAGCATTTGTCGCTTTTCTGCCGAGTCAAGATCTAATCCGTTGTATCATAATTTGTTACATGTAGATACTAGATCTACTGCAAAACGCTTAGATCAATGGCCTTGAAATTCTCGAATATGTGTTTACCGCGTGGCTTTGCTCCAAGAACCTGAAGCGAAAATCGGACATGGAATCCAATTAATATCATGCTCTTAGGTTATCACCTTCAATAGGCCCATGGTAAGATCTGTCCTCGGGGAGCCGCGTCGTCTATCCTTCACCCAACCAGAGATTGCACAGGACCCCCTGGCTAGTTTCAACGGCCAGCCCGGGCCTTCAATCTTGGATCACCGGATCTCAATCTCAACAGATCATAGGTACGACCGGTTGCGAGGGATTGACT